GTCTGCCGTGCATCCCGCCGGGATGACCGCCGGCACGATGTTGAGCGCCGCGAATCTCGCCTTGACTTCCTTGGTAAGGTGACCACGGTAGGAGTCGAGTACTAGCATGGCGCTCCGACTCTGCAAACCGAATTTCGGTTTCAGGAACGGCACCACGCCCTCATTGAGCCACTGGATGACGCCCGTGGCCTCCATCCACCCGTTCGCTTGGCAGCCAACCACGACATCTGCACACAAGCAAGCGGTGGTTAGTCCCTTTTTTTGTTGAACGTCCAAAACACGCACAAGAACATGTGCTCACCGTTCATGAAGTCACCCTTAGGCAGTGTCTTGCGCTTGAAAAACACCCACGGCTTCAACTTCTCGCCCGTCGCCGTGCACGCCAGCATCACGGTGACTCTTTCTTTCTGGTAACCAGCGCTGCGGATGGGCACCGACTTCACGCCCGTCTGCTCCACGGTGGTAGTGGCCGGCATCTCCAACCAAAGAGGCGTTTGGTCGGCTTTGATTATGTATCGATTGTCGATCGCGTACTCGTTGCGTGCGTCGCGGACGAACTGCCAAAATTCTTTGCACTGCGTCGCCACGTCTGCGCACGGGGAGGGAAGGACAGATAGGAAGAAGGATGAGTACCACTACAAGATAAAGATAGGAAGTGCAGGAGCAACAACTCTTAAACCATGCGAATTTGCTCGAGGTAAGCGGGAAACAAGGCACTTACGCTCCTGCATTTTCTGCGCCACCTTAGTTTTCATGCGCACGCTGAGGTTCCACCGCTTGCGGAACCGCTCCGACCACCGCTGACTCCCTTTCCACTTGACTTCCGGGAACAGCACCTTCATCACTTCGCGTGACCAATCTTGGAGCCGGCCGACTGAAACTGCAACACCGCGGCGTCGCCAGTCGAGGAGTTGAGCGTACACCTTTAACTCCATGGGTCTGTACCAAGAAGACCTCCCGCGCCCATGAAGTCGACACCGTGCGGCATGTGAAGCCTTGAGCTCCTCTGCTTGGGTTTTCCACTCCGTCAGGCATTTGCGGTGTATGCCGGACTCCCGCGCGACCTCGCTTATCGATGCCGCCAGCTCCAGCCGTACGAGCCATCTGAGTTTCTCCTGGGAGGTGTAGGACTGCCGTTTATGTTGAGACGGCTTGTGCCTGGGAGAGGGGGGGCGGGCATCTCGGTTCTGGGAGGAGGGGTGGGGTCATTTTTTGTTAATCGGCGGATACGTCGGTATCGGCATCTTCTCGCGTGGTGCGTCGCGCCACCATGACTCCACACTGTCGTCGTCCTTGGCACTTGCACCACGATCTGGGAACACGTCCTCCTCGGCGCCCGCTTCACCGTCGCTGACACTGTCGCCGTCGCCGCTGTTTTGTTTATCGGCGGCCACGTCATCGTCGGCGCCCAAATCCGACTCGTCCCACGTGCAGGCTTCGGGCTGTCTCCACCGTGGTGCAGGCGGCGGAGCCTGGATGAATACATCAGGGGCCTTGGGTGTGTCCGATTCAGACAGCCACTCGTCGAAAGCGGCTGGTAAATACAGCTGGAGCACGGGCCGTTGGTGAGCACAGGCACCGATATCAGACTGATTTGGAGGAGCGGGAGGTGCGGGAGGAGCAGGAGGAGCAGGAGGTGCAGGAGGAGCAGGACGAGCAGGGGGAGCTGGGGGTTCAGGTGGCACTGGAGGCGCTGCTGGCTCACGGGTATACCACCCGTCGTCGGTAAGTCGCCATGGGCGAGCTCTCTTGTTCTTGAAGAGGAAGTGCGTCCCGCTGAATTCCGCCATGGCTTCGCCAGCCAGGCGGCCTACACTGGAATCTGAATGAAAGAAATGAAAACGAGGGTGCACAAATGGGCAACGAAGGGGACCCCGTAAGGTTGGCGCCTCGGGGTCCTCGTCAATGACAGGCGGGAAACCCCCGCCTACCCCCGTAGAGGACCCTGCGTGGCAGCATAAACGCTGCGCTGGCAGGGAATATTCCCCACCCTTCGAGAGGGTTCGGAAGAAATGTGTCAGAATGTTATGTTTCTCTAGTCTGCAGTGGGGTACTCTATAGTGAGTACAGCCCTATTAGGGTTTACTATATGTATCCCAATGTTTGCTAGTGAACCTCCTCTTCTCTGTTTTCATTTCCTTCTTCCATTTCTCCTTCGTGTACCCTAAACCCTAGCCATGGCTACTAAGTCTTAGCTAGGATTCTGACATGCTATCAGAGCGAGATCGCTCCTGGCCTGTGGGCCCACCTGCTTCCGCTGTTGTCCTGTCTGTCGCGCGCCCCGTGGCGCGCGACATTTTTTCTTCCCGCCACGCGCTCGGGGCGCATGGCGGTTTTCTGCCCGCCGTGCACCCCGAGGCGCGCGGCGGTTTCCTGCCCGCCATGCGCCCCAGGAGCGCGCGGCGGTTTCGTGCTCCGTCCCGCGCGCTCCCCCCCGTCGTCCGTCGAGGCGCCCCTGGGGACCCGCGCCCCCCCCCCCCCCCCCCCCCGTCGTTCGTCGCGGCACCCTCGGGGGGCTCGTGCGCTCCCCCCCCCCTCCCGTCGCCCGTCGTGGCGCCCTCGGGGGCCCGCGCGCGGCCCCCTCCCGTCGCCCGTCGTGGCACCCTCGGGGGCCCGCGCGGCCCTCACTTCCGTCGCCCGTCGTGGCGCCCTCGGGGGCCCGCGTGCGGCCCCCTCCCGTCGCCCGTCGCGGCGCCCTCGGGGGCCCGCGCGGCCCCCACTTCCGTCACCCGTCGAGGCGCCCTCGAGGGCCCGCGCGCTGCCCCTCCTGCAGCTCGCGAACCGCCCCTGCAGCCCGCGAGCCGCCCCTACAGCCCGCGTGCTGCCCCTGCAGCCCGCGAGCCGCCCCTGCCGCCTCCTGTCATCGTGCAACTGCGGGGTGGCGGGTATGGGGGTGGCTGGTGTGTGCACCGTCCCCTGCTCCTCCTCCTCCTCCGTCTCCCACTGCTGCAGCTGCCGCTGAGGGGGGTGGGTGTGTGGGAGCCGAGGGAGTGGTGCTAGGGGGGTGATGTGGGAGTGGAGCTAGGGGTGCAGCAAGGGGTGTGTGAAAGGGGGACGGGACAGTTGGGGGAGGTTGAGCGGAAGCTGCCGTCTTGTCGTCCGCAGCACCTGTAGTCCGGGGCTCTGCTGCTGGTAGCTCAGAGAGCCTGCTGCGCCTGTCGCCCGTGGGTCCGTTGCTCCTGCCGCTCAGAGTTAGCCGCAGAGCCTGTTACTCCTGTAGTCCGGGGCCTTTGCTCCGGTAGCCACCGTGCGCGCCGCTCCTGTTGCCCGTGTGTCTGCAGCTTCAGCCGTCGCCTCCTATCTCCTCTCCTCTCACAGTCCAGCCTCCTCCTCCTCACTTGCTCTTTGTGAATGCCTCTAGCTTTGCTTGTACTGATGAACCTGCTCTATGACTGCTTGCTGTGCTGATTATACCCCACTTTGACTATGGGGGTGTGTCAGAATGTTATGCTTCTCTAGTCTGCAGTGGGGTACTCTATAGTGAGTACAGCCCTGTTAGGGTTTACTATATGTATCCCAATGTTTGCTAGTAAACCTCCTCTTCTCTGTTTTCATTTCCTTCTTCCATTTCTCCTTCGTGTACCCTAAACCCTAGCCATGGCAACTAAGTCTTAGCTAGGATTCTGACAAAATGCACATGCCACGCAATGCATGCGACTGTGATTGGGCCGCACGGCAACATCCCCGTCACTGCTGTCACGATCGATGGTTCTAGGCAAAACTGTGCAGTGGGAAACCGAACCGCTGTTGTTTTTGTCTGGAAACCATGCACGATCCCACGTGTTGCATGGTCGGTTGAATTCGCCTTATTGCGGGCTTCAATTTGGTATGTTTAAAAGTGATTTTTTTCCCTATTACAAGCGCATTCGCTTATACACATGACTCGATTAGAAGCGCACCCCCCTAAAAAACACTGTTTTATTATAAGCGCACCTGCGCTTCTATCCGGGGTAATACAACAATGGGTGACATTCAACTAGTCTTGCTGGCCAGATGTTACCTGCAAGCTATAATAGACATCACTTTTATCGCCTTTCCGACTGAAAATGCCCCAATCTTACCATATTGTATACACATGAAAAAATTCACCACATTTTATCTGCATCAAAGTCTAGGCTAGGCATGTACACATGTGCTGTGCAGTGCTTGCTACAATACTTTCTGCTGGGTGGCAGGGCAGGGCATGATCCATGGGAACGGAGCGCAGAGGTGAAGCTACAATGGAGCTGTTTACGCATCGGAAGGGTTTAAGTCATGCAGTCTGCTGCATCACCCACCCACATGGCCCATTCGCTGCCATGGAGGAGGCAAGCAGAAGATCACAATTTCAATTTCGATTGAATCTGGGTCTCCCTATTTCGTTGCATTGCATTGCAACCAGCTCGCCCTCCTACCGTATGTGTCACTTCCAGCTCTCGCAGTGCCTTATCTGCTTCAGAATTCATGGTTGATATACCATACGCAAAACACCAGACTTCATGGTACACGAGACAGAAGCGCAAAAACTGCACCTTCTCACTGCAGCCACACTCCTCCACCCACTCAATGCACCCCTAAAGTGCCTGATTACTAGTGACTCAGTTTCTGCTGGTGTGTGGCACCCATTTGCACCACTCTGCACTCGAGGGGATTATGCTGTGACTGAGAGATGGGCGGGCATGAGTGTAAGAAACAGAAGGCACTGAAAGAAGCGAAAGTAATAAAAAATCAACAAAACAGTGCGATGCATAACACGAGATGAGGGATGAGATGAAATATAAGATGACGTGCAGGAAAGGTCATGTGATGTATGGGATAAGGTATGAGAAGAGGTGTGGGATGAGGTATGGGATGAGGTATGGAATGAGGTGCAGTGCATAGCTGTTCCACCACTATAAATTCTTGCTTGAGTTCAAAACCATGGCTGTTCACAAGCACGAAATTCCAAAGCTGAAGACACTCCGATCTGGAGTGCCAAATACCGACACACCAGCATCTTGGTTCTGCCCATGCCCCAGATATTACCTCCCCTGAGTCGCCCTCCCCCCACGGCATGCCACCATGAGGAGGTGGCTGGTAGAAGCAGCTGAGAGGAGATAGGAGGGAAGGTGGGTTTGGGGGAGAGCATGCAGGGTCCCTCTGCTCCCACCATTAACTACCCATCAAGGACGAGGGGGAGGGGGAGGGGGAGGGCGAGGGCGAGGAGGGGGAGGGGGGATGGGGAGGAGGAGAGAGTGGAGGGAGACAATTAGGAAGGTAGGCATGAGTGTTGGTAGGCATGAGTGTTGGTAGGCATGAGTGTTGGTGGGCATGAGTGTTGGTGGGCATGAGTGTTGGTGGGCATGAGTGTTGGTGGGCATGAGTGTTGGTGGGCATGAGTGTTGGTGGGCATGAGTGTTGGTAGGCATGAGTGTTGGTGGGCATGAGTGTTGGTGGGCATGAGTGTTGGTGGGCATGAGTGTTGGTGGGCATGAGTGTTGGTGGGCATGAGTGTTGGTGGGCATGAGTGTTGGTGGGCATGAGTGTTGGTGGGCATGAGTGTTGGTGGGCATGAGTGTTGGTGGGCATGAGTGTTGGTGGGCATGAGTGTTGGTGGGCATGAGTGTTGGTGGGCATGAGTGTTGGTGGGCATGAGTGTTGGTGGGCATGAGTGTTGGTGGGCATGAGTGTTGGTGGGCATGAGTGTTGGTGGGCATGAGTGTTGGTGGGCATGAGTGTTGGTAGGCATGAGTGTTGGTGGGCATGAGTGTTGGTGGGCATGAGTGTTGGTGGGCATGAGTGTTGGTGGGCATGAGTGTTGGTGGGCATGAGTGTTGGTGGGCATGAGTGTTGGTGGGCATGAGTGTTGGTGGGCATGAGTGTTGGTGGGCATGAGTGTTGGTGGGCATGAGTGTTGGTGGGCATGAGTGTTGGTGGGCATGAGTGTTGGTGGGCATGAGTGTTGGTGGGCATGAGTGTTGGTGGGCATGAGTGTTGGTGGGCATGAGTGTTGGTGGGCATGAGTGTTGGTAGGCATGAGTGTTGGTGGGCATGAGTGTTGGTGGGCATGAGTGTTGGTGGGCATGAGTGTTGGTGGGCATGAGTGTTGGTGGGCATGAGTGTTGGTGGGCATGAGTGTTGGTGGGCATGAGTGTTGGTGGGCATGAGTGTTGGTGGGCATGAGTGTTGGTGGGCATGAGTGTTGGTGGGCATGAGTGTTGGTGGGCATGAGTGTTGGTGGGCATGAGTGTTGGTGGGCATGAGTGTTGGTGGGCATGAGTGTTGGTGGGCATGAGTGTTGGTGGGCATGAGTGTTGGTGGGCATGAGTGTTGGTGGGCATGAGTGTTGGTGGGCATGAGTGTTGGTGGGCATGAGTGTTGGTGGGCATGAGTGTTGGTGGGCATGAGTGTTGGTGGGCATGAGTGTTGGTGGGCATGAGTGTTGGTGGGCATGAGTGTTGGTGGGCATGAGTGTTGGTGGGCATGAGTGTTGGTGGGCATGAGTGTTGGTGGGCATGAGTGTTGGTGGGCATGAGTGTTGGTGGGCATGAGTGTTGGTGGGCATGAGTGTTGGTGGGCATGAGTGTTGGTGGGCATGAGTGTTGGTGGGCATGAGTGTTGGTGGCATGAGTGTTGGTGGGCATGAGTGTTGGTGGGCATGAGTGTTGGTGGGCATGAGTGTTGGTGGGCATGAGTGTTGGTGGGCATGAGTGTTGGTGGGCATGAGTGTTGGTGGGCATGAGTGTTGGTGGGCATGAGTGTTGGTGGGCATGAGTGTTGGTGGGCATGAGTGTTGGTGGGCATGAGTGTTGGTGGGCATGAGTGTTGGTGGGCATGAGTGTTGGTGGGCATGAGTGTTGGTGGGCATGAGTGTTGGTGGGCATGAGTGTTGGTGGGCATGAGTGTTGGTGGGCATGAGTGTTGGTGGGCATGAGTGTTGGTGGGCATGAGTGTTGGTGGGCATGAGTGTTGGTGGGCATGAGTGTTGGTGGGCATGAGTGTTGGTGGGCATGAGTGTTGGTGGGCATGAGTGTTGGTGGGCATGAGTGTTGGTGGGCATGAGTGTTGGTGGGCATGAGTGTTGGTGGGCATGAGTGTTGGTGGGCATGAGTGTTGGTGGGCATGAGTGTTGGTGGGCATGAGTGTTGGTGGGCATGAGTGTTGGTGGGCATGAGTGTTGGTGGGCATGAGTGTTGGTGGGCATGAGTGTTGGTGGGCATGAGTGTTGGTGGGCATGAGTGTTGGTGGGCATGAGTGTTGGTGGGCATGAGTGTTGGTGGGCATGAGTGTTGGTGGGCATGAGTGTTGGTGGGCATGAGTGTTGGTGGGCATGAGTGTTGGTGGGCATGAGTGTTGGTGGGCATGAGTGTTGGTGGGCATGAGTGTTGGTGGGCATGAGTTGTTGGTGGGCATGAGTGTTGGTGGGCATGAGTGTTGGTGGGCATGAGTGTTGGTGGGCATGAGTGTTGGTGGGCATGAGTGTTGGTGGGCATGAGTGTTGGTGGGCATGAGTGTTGGTGGGCATGAGTGTTGGGTGGGCATGAGTGTTGGTGGGCATGAGTGTTGGTGGGCATGAGTGTGGTGGGCATGAGTGTTGGTGGGCATGAGTGTTGGTGGGCATGAGTGTTGGTGGGCATGAGTGTTGGTGGGCATGAGTGTTGGTGGGCATGAGTGTTGGTGGGCATGAGTGTTGGTGGGCATGAGTGTTGGTGGGCATGAGTGTTGGTGGGCATGAGTGTTGGTGGGCATGAGTGTTGGTGGGCATGAGTGTTGGTGGGCATGAGTGTTGGTGGGCATGAGTGTTGGTGGGCATGAGTGTTGGTGGGCATGAGTGTTGGTGGGCATGAGTGTTGGTGGGCATGAGTGTTGGTGGGCATGAGTGTTGGTGGGCATGAGTGTTGGTGGGCATGAGTGTTGGTGGGCATGAGTGTTGGTGGGCATGAGTGTTGGTGGGCATGAGTGTTGGTGGGCATGAGTGTTGGTGGGCATGAGTGTTGGTGGGCATGAGTGTTGGTGGGCATGAGTGTTGGTGGGCATGAGTGTTGGTGGGCATGAGTGTTGGTGGGCATGAGTGTTGGTGGGCATGAGTGTTGGTGGCATGAGTGTTGGTGGGCATGAGTGTTGGTTGGGCATGAGTGGTGGTGGCATGAGTGTTGTGGGCATGAGTGTTGGTGGGCATGAGTGTTGGTGGGCATGAGTGTTGGTGGGCATGAGTGTTGGTGGGCATGAGTGTTGGTGGGCATGAGTGTTGGTGGGCATGAGTGTTGGTGGGCATGAGTGTTGGTGGGCATGAGTGTTGGTGGGCATGAGTGTTGGTGGGCATGAGTGTTGGTGGGCATGAGTGTTGGGTGGGCATGATGTTGGTGGGCATGAGTGTTGGTGGGCATGAGTGTTGGTGGGCATGAGTGTTGGTGGGGCATGAGTGTTGGTGGGCATGAGTGTTGGTGGGCATGAGTGTTGGTGGGCATGAGTGTTGGTGGGCATGAGTGTTGGTGGGCATGAGTGTTGGTGGGCATGAGTGTTGGTGGGCATGAGTGTTGGTGGGCATGAGTGTTGGTGGGCATGAGTGTTGGTGGGCATGAGTGTTGGGTGGGCATGAGTGTTGGTGGGCATGAGTGTTGGTGGGCATGAGTGTTGGTGGGCATGAGTGTTGGTGGGCATGAGTGTTGGTGGGCATGAGTGTTGGTGGGCATGAGTGTTGGTGGGCATGAGTGTTGGTGGGCATGAGTGTTGGTGGGCATGAGTGTTGGTGGGCATGAGTGTTGGTGGGCATGAGTGTTGGTGGGCATGAGTGTTGGTGGGCATGAGTGTTGGTGGGCATGAGTGTTGGTGGGCATGAGTGTTGGTGGGCATGAGTGTTGGTGGGCATGAGTGTTGGTGGGCATGAGTGTTGGTGGGCATGAGTGTTGGTGGGCATGAGTGTTGGTGGGCATGAGTGTTGGTGGGCATGAGTGTTGGTGGGCATGAGTGTTGGTGGGCATGAGTGTTGGTGGGCATGAGTGTTGGTGGGCATGAGTGTTGGTGGGCATGAGTGTTGGTGGGCATGAGTGTTGGTGGGCATGAGTGTTGGTGGGCATGAGTGTTGGTGGGCATGAGTGTTGGTGGGCATGAGTGTTGGTGGGCATGAGTGTTGGTGGGCATGAGTGTTGGTGGGCATGAGTGTTGGTGGGCATGAGTGTTGGTGGGCATGAGTGTTGGTGGGCATGAGTGTTGGTGGGCATGAGTGTTGGTGGGCATGAGTGTTGGTGGGCATGAGTGTTGGTGGGCATGAGTGTTGGTGGGCATGAGTGTTGGTGGGCATGAGTGTTGGTGGGCATGAGTGTTGGTGGGCATGAGTGTTGGTGGGCATGAGTGTTGGTGGGCATGAGTGTTGGTGGGCATGAGTGTTGGTGGGCATGAGTGTTGGTGGGCATGAGTGTTGGTGGGCATGAGTGTTGGTGGGCATGAGTGTTGGTGGGCATGAGTGTTGGTGGGCATGAGTGTTGGTGGGCATGAGTGTTGGTGGGCATGAGTGTTGGTGGGCATGAGTGTTGGTGGGCATGAGTGTTGGTGGGCATGAGTGTTGGTGGGCATGAGTGTTGGTGGGCATGAGTGTTGGTGGGCATGAGTGTTGGTGGGCATGAGTGTTGGTGGGCATGATGCAGGAGTGTTGGTGGCATGAGTGTTGGTGGGCATGAGTGTTGGTAGGCATGAGTGTTGGTGGGCATGAGTGTTGGTGGGCATGAGTGTTGGTGGGCATGAGTGTTGGTGGGCATGAGTGTTGGTGGGCATGAGTGTTGGTGGGCATGAGTGTTGGTGGGCATGAGTGTTGGTGGGCATGAGTGTTGGTGGGCATGAGTGTTGGTGGGCATGAGTGTTGGTGGCATGAGTGTTGGTGGGCATGAGTGTTGGTGGGCATGAGTGTTGGTGGGCATGAGTGTTGGTGGGCATGAGTGTTGGTGGGCATGAGTGTTGGTTTGGTGGGCATGAGTGTTGGTGGGCATGAGTGTTGGTGGGCATGAGTGTTGGTGGGCATGAGTGTTGGTGGGCATGAGTGTTGGTGGGCATGAGTGTTGGTGGGCATGAGTGTTGGTGGGCATGAGTGTTGGTGGGCATGAGTGTTGGTGGGCATGAGTGTTGGTGGGCATGAGTGTTGGTGGGCATGAGTGTTGGTGGGCATGAGTGTTGGTGGGCATGAGTGTTGGTGGGCATGAGTGTTGGTGGGCATGAGTGTTGGTGGGCATGAGTGTTGGTGGGCATGAGTGTTGGTGGGCATGAGTGTTGGTGGGCATGAGTGTTGGTGGGCATGAGTGTTGGTGGGCATGAGTGTTGGTGGGCATGAGTGTTGGTGGGCATGAGTGTTGGTGGGCATGAGTGTTGGTGGGCATGAGTGTTGGTGGGCATGAGTGTTGGTGGGCATGAGTGTTGGTGGGCATGAGTGTTGGTGGGCATGAGTGTTGGTGGGCATGAGTGTTGGTGGGCATGAGTGTTGGTGGGCATGAGTGTTGGTGGGCATGAGTGTTGGTGGGCATGAGTGTTGGTGGGCATGAGTGTTGGTGGGCATGAGTGTTGGTGGGCATGAGTGTTGGTGGGCATGAGTGTTGGTGGGCATGAGTGTTGGTGGGCATGAGTGTTGGTGGGCATGAGTGTTGGTGGGCATGAGTGTTGGTGGGCATGAGTGTTGGTGGGCATGAGTGTTGGTGGGCATGAGTGTTGGTGGGCATGAGTGTTGGTGGGCATGAGTGTTGGTGGGCATGAGTGTTGGTGGGCATGAGTGTTGGTGGGCATGAGTGTTGGTGGGCATGAGTGTTGGTGGGCATGAGTGTTGGTGGGCATGAGTGTTGGTGGGCATGAGTGTTGGTGGGCATGAGTGTTGGTAGGCATGAGTGTTGGTGGGCATGAGTGTTGGTGGGCATGAGTGTTGGTGGGCATGAGTGTTGGTGGGCATGAGTGTTGGTGGGCATGAGTGTTGGTGGGCATGAGTGTTGGTGGGCATGAGTGTTGGTGGGCATGAGTGTTGGTGGGCATGAGTGTTGGTGGGCATGAGTGTTGGTGGGCATGAGTGTTGGTGGGCATGAGTGTTGGTGGGCATGAGTGTTGGTGGGCATGAGTGTTGGTGGGCATGAGTGTTGGTGGGCATGAGTGTTGGTGGGCATGAGTGTTGGTGGGCATGAGTGTTGGTGGGCATGAGTGTTGGTGGGCATGAGTGTTGGTGGGCATGAGTGTTGGTGGGCATGAGTGTTGGTGGGCATGAGTGTTGGTGGGCATGAGTGTTGGTGGGCATGAGTGTTGGTGGGCATGAGTGTTGGTGGGCATGAGTGTTGGTGGGCATGAGTGTTGGTGGGCATGAGTGTTGGTAGGGCATGAGTGTTGGTGGGCATGAGTGTTGGTGGGCATGAGTGTTGGTGGGCATGAGTGTTGGTGGGCATGAGTGTTGGTGGGCATGAGTGTTGGTGGGCATGAGTGTTGGTGGGCATGAGTGTTGGTGGGCATGAGTGTTGGTGGGCATGAGTGTTGGTGGGCATGAGTGTTGGTGGGCATGAGTGTTGGTAGGCATGAGTGTTGGTGGGCATGAGTGTTGGTGGGCATGAGTGTTGGTGGGCATGAGTGTTGGTGGGCATGAGTGTTGGTGGGCATGAGTGTTGGTGGGCATGAGTGTTGGTGGGCATGAGTGTTGGTGGGCATGAGTGTTGGTGGGCATGAGTGTTGGTGGGCATGAGTGTTGGTGGGCATGAGTGTTGGTGGGCATGAGTGTTGGTGGGCATGTGTGTTGGTGGGCATGTGTGTTGGTGGGCATGTGTGTTGGTGGGCATGTGTGTTGGCGGCAGGCATGCGAGGGTAAGGCGTTACATGAATCAAAAGGAATTCAGAAAAGACTGTCAGTGTACTAGGGAATCGAGCATGATGGTTTGGGGTGTGGGATGAGGGGTGCGATGGAATGGGGTGTGGGATGAGGTGTGCGATGGAATGGGGTGTGGGATGAGGCGTGAGATTGGGTACGCGATGACTTCCTCGATGGTGAGATATGGGATGATGTATGGGATGAGGTGCATGTGCACAGCTGTCCCTATAATACATTTCCCTGCCAGCCTGCTAAAAAACAAACAAACAAACAAACAAACAAACTAAAAAAACTGAAGACCTTTCAAACCGAATCCTAATTACCGCCACCCCAGCGCCCTTGGTTTTGCCGTTGCCGCAGCCCTCACCTCCCCTGAGTCGCCCTACCTCAACGCCACCATGGGGAGGTGGGATTGTGGGAGTGCGTGCCACAATACCATGCGGGGTCCCTCTGCTGCCACCAAGGAGTGGGGATGGGGAGGGGGAGGGAGAGGAGGGAAACAACTATGTGAACATCACAAGACACAGAGAGAGGGGCATGGAGTGGGGCGCAGTACCTCCCCAGTAATGCCTCGCTTGCCACTCCTGCTGCCACTGTGACTTGAGAAATAGATGAGGCGGGCTCAGTTGGGGCAGGTGGCATGCAAGTGGGTTTTGTTAAAAACATGCTACCTACCACAGGTCGTGAAGCATCCACCGCCACTTCTGCAGCAGATGGGGAGGGCTCAGGCGGGGGGAGGTGGTATGCAAAAGAGGTTGGTTGCTACCTACCCTAGGTCATGCAGCATCCACCGCCTCTGCAGCAGCCACGGCAGCAGAAACCACCGTTCTGGACATTGCCCGAAACCATTGCACACTGCACTTTGAGGATTTCCTTCCCAGTCCCGGTTAAAACTAAGCAACCTCATTGCAAGCCTATCCCTCTGCCTAAGCAGAGGTACACCTCGTTGCATCGGTGATGAACCAACTGCTGACACCACAACACCTTCATTCTGCTCACCTTTCATGTTCTCCCTTACCTTTTCCGCCCATCTGTCATGATCTGTCTGCCAGTCATCTCAAGAAGCGTGGTCAAGCAACCAGAAAGTGATGAGGCCGTATACATTAGAAGATAATGAGGGGAGAGGGAAGGGAATGGGAATGGAAGTTGGGTTGAGAGGGGCGAGATGGGCTATTGCAGTGATTGCAGCACCTCTTTGTTGCCACCATTAACCATCCGCCAGCGAGGGGGAGAGGTGGGGGAAAGAGGGAGTGGAGGTTGGAGAGAGGGGGAAAGAGAGCAGCACAAGGGGCATGGAGGAGGTGTTGGGTATTAGTAGGCAGTTGTGGTGCACGTGATGTGGAAGGAATGGAGAGGTGCAGCCTGGCTGAGATGGTGGGGGAGTAGATGGGAGGGTGATGGAGGGAAGATGAGGAGGATGCAAGAGGGGGAGGGACACTTGGTCCGTGCATAGGCTGACGTACGAGATGGGATGGGACATGGCTCCCAACGAGGCGGAGTCCCAGGTGGCTGCTTCTGGAGATGGTTACTGTGTTTGCGAAAGCAACGCCATGAGTATAAATAGAGATGTTGACCATACATGTGAGCAAGGCCATGTGAAAGCCGTTTTGTACATGCACAAACACCAAAGTAATACTGTATGAGCAACCTTGCCTACTATGGCATGTTGGAAGCGAGCCACCAGAGCATATTGGTCTTGGAGTTGCCATCATCAAACACCGTTAGAGCAGCAATGTTCGTCCTGGCCCCCTGCGGGTCGTACAACGCCTGCAGCGCCCACGCAAAGCCGCGCCACTCGTCTGTGGCAGCGCCACTCAGCACGGGTTGTGCCCACTCCACGAGCTGCTTGGCAAAGTCGTGGTCCGGGAAGAGGTGGGTGAGGAAGGGCGAGACGGGCAGCACCTGGATGCCCACGCGCTTCTCCATGTCCGCTGGCGGGGCGAACCACAGCGCCGCGTCACGCTTGGTGGACCACAGCACACCCACCACGCGGTTGCCGTCCGCAAACACCGCCTCGTAGCCGGGTGAGAGGGAGGGATCCGGATTAGACGAGGCGAGCGGCACGTGCATGAGGGTCTGGCCGGCGAGGGCCTCCACGGCGGCCAGCGTGGCGCCCAGCGTGGCGAGCGGCTGGTCGCCCAGCACGGATGCCAGCAGCGCCGCCGCGTAGTACGCGTTGGCCGCCTCGCTGAAGCTCTCCTGGTTGCGCCCGTCGCCGAATTCAAACAGCCCGCTGGCCCACGAGTGCAGCGCGTACGCGTCAAAGTGCCGCAGCCTCGGGAACGCCGCGGTGCGCTCCGCTGACATGTAGTCCGCCATCAGGTCCATGAGCGGCGCACGGTACTGGTCGCGCCACGTGGGGTCAAACTTGGCGACGGTGGCAGCGGCATAGATGAAGTAGCCGTAGTGGAAGTGGTGGTCGTTGTACATGCCCGCTCCAAACTCCGCCCCCTGGTCACGCGACCCCGCCTCACTCACCACGCCACCCCACGTGGGGTCGTACAGCAGGCGGTTACCGGAGAAGGTGCCGTCCAGCCATGCGGAGAGCGCGGTCCGCAGGGGTGGCAGCACGGCGGCCAGGCTGTCCTCATCCCGCACCTGCTTTGCGATCAGCGCCAGGCGGGCGGCACGCGCCGCTGTCTTGCCGAAGGAGTAGGTGGAGGGGGAGGAGAGGGGCGGCAGCGCCGCCACGTCCTGCTTGAGGCTGGCCCTCAGCTCGTCCAGCAGCTGGGGGTCGGACGAGAGTGGCCCTGCGCGCCACGTGGACGGCCGCTTGGGAACCTTGAGGCGCCACACCGCCCCCTGCATGCCCACCGCCTGGCCGTCGATGGTGGGGTAGGCCAGCACTGACGCATCGGGCACCGACTCATCTCCCACGGACGACCACGGTGCATTGCCGCGTGTGATAGAGGGTCTGGCAGACGCGGAGTTGTGGTGGCCGCGGAGGGCGCCCATGGCGCCGGAAGGGGAGCCGCTGCGGTGACGGCGGAGGGCGGAGGCAGAGGAGAGGCTGTGTGCGCTCACCTCCATGCGCCGGTGCACTGCTCATGGGGGAGTATGGGCCGAAGGTGGGGAGGAAAAGGGGATAGGGGGTTTAGTTCGATGGGCAGATGGCGAGGGTGATGGGTGATTGCCCTCATAACCCGATGACGCCTTGTGACGGCATTCCAGGTGACATGGCAGCACATATGGCAACACAGTCACAGCACGCCCCTACTCACTTGGCAGTGAGAGCATGAGCAGCGGCGCCTCGGTGTCGCCATTGGCCGGCTCGCGCCACTGCTGGGTGCGCCAGGTGTACTTGATGCGGAATGCGCCCACCTGCGCACTCCCCCCCACCGGCACCGTGGGCACGTGCGCGTCCAGCAGCGCCTCCTCGTCCTGCGGGGAGGAGCCCGGCAGCAGCGCCACGCGCATCGTCCCCGTGAACGGCACGTCCGCTGCTAGCGTCGACCCGTCCTGCCTCAGGTTTAGCGGCGACGACAGGTACACCAGCCATGTCTGGTGTAGGGGAAGAGGATTGGGGGGGAAGCGAGGGGACGGAGGTGGTGAGTACGAAGAGTAAGCAACCGGGAGGGGGAGATAGTAGTAACCATGGGCGAGTGAGACAGCGAAAGGGGCTGGTATGGCGGCAGTCGCTGGGCAGCAAAGGGGTGCGGTTGGCGCTGCGGACTGACCTGGCCGTTGTTGAGCGCAACACGGTACTTGCTGCTGTCGCTGCTGGCCTCCACTCCCGTGATGGCATGGATTGTCGTCAGCACGGGCGTCGCGGGGGGGCCGCCCGGGGGGAATATGAACGTGAGGAAGGGGGACCCGCGCACCAGGGGGACCTCGAGGATGGAGGGATCGGCGGGCGCGGAGGAGGGTTGGCGGAAGGAGAGGGTGGCGGAGAGGTCGTCGTAGGTGGAGAGCTGGTGGGGGGGAAGGCCCTGCAGCGTGGAGAGCATGAGCGCCGTGACGAACGCCTGCACGATGTACCCGGGTTGCGGGTCGCGCACCGGCAGCCCCCACGCGATGCGCCCCTCCGCGCTCTGCACGAGGTACGGCGTCACGAGCTCGGGGTTGCCGCCCTGCCCCAGCACCATGTTCTGCCACGGCGCGTTCGTCGGATACGGCGCCTGGGATCGGGGGAAGGGGGGAGTTCGGCAGGATGAGGGGAGAGGAGTGGAGAAAGCACGGGAACGGGGGAAGACGAAATAGGAGATGCGCCGAGCCGCCGGCAAGGAGCAGCCTCCGAGTTTGAGAGGGCACTGGAGGCGGAAAGCGCGCGGAGATGGGAGAAGCGGAGAGCACGCGCCGACGCCATGCGGTGGGAAACTCACGGTGAGGTTGGCGGACCAAAGGGCGGAGGGCGCGGGAGCCACAGTGGAGGAGAGCGCGGGGAAGGCCGCCGACGCCATGGTGGCGGGGATGAGACGCGCTCGGAGTGCGGCGCCGGGGATGACAGGGGGAACGAGTTTGGCGGGTTGACGAGAGGAGACGGCACGCGAAGCGCGTGGGTGCGGTGAGGCGTGTGCCGTGAAGGTCAGATGCGGTCGGGGGAGTTGAAGGCGCTAAATCGGTGGTGCTGGAAGGGCGATGGCTGTTGCACCAGTGGTGGCTCGTACATTCTGTGATCGCGGAAGCTACTAAATATATTACTTCGTCCTGGCCGTGGGATGTCGCCTCCTGCGATGGTGGTGACGCCATAGCGCCGGACGCTGCGGACCGTGGGGCCCGCGACACGCGAATCAGCCGCGCACGCGAAATTCGAGTCCAGCATACTGCTACCACACAGTTGCGGGCTCTCGCTTCAGTCGAAGCGCTCGCTTGAATTCAATGGTCATTGGCCTCTCCACAGAAATGCGGCAATGCAGCAGCCAAGGCTGATTGAAGAGACCTCCACTGGTCCAACTCTGCACACAACGCGTGTAGTGCAGGTTTGGGATGGCACCTGAACATCATGGCTCGCCTCGCTTGTTACCCTCTTTCAGCAGCGCAGAGTTGCGACTAAGGCAATGCGTGCGCGATGTTCCAGTTGGACGTTAACGACGAATGCGAAAACAGGCTGAGAAATCGTCAGTATCGCAAGTACCTAGTTCGTCGAGGTTCAGCGAACGTGCACGTGAAATCAAGATGGTCTGTGCGGCACAGCATTCGTGCTTGTCGTTCTAAAAGCAGCCACGTTCCACACTACAAGCCAAAAGGAATGACAAATTACAATGTTGAATATTGAGAGCACAGCATTTCTCCAACTCTCTAGTAGTCGTCACACAGCGAGCCTTCTAGTACAAGCCTGTAGTATGGAATCTGCAGAACAATCACTGTTATAATCCTAAACAGGACTTAGCCAAGGATCGGCTCAGGGTTGTTCGCAGGTAGAATTGCAGCGGAAGTAGTGACTGTTGAGATAATATGAAGACTTAAGCACTTCAAGGATTCGTGTAGTACACTGCGAGATTTCGCACGTAACAGTAAAGTACCGATAGGCTGACGTCAGCACGTAGCTATAGACCTCGCGAAAAGTTACGTACCGTTTCAGAACAAGAATAGCACAGTACAGTAGGCGAACAGGTACTTTACTCTAGCTATATATTTTGTATGATTGTCATTTTATAATACATCTGATTTCAGAGACATTGATCCTGAAACATATCACTACATGGGCTTTTATTAAGTCCAGACAAAGCCTTCATAAACTGGTTTTAAACTCATACAAAGACTTCCGCTACGACAGGAAGCTACCATCCTAGGTATTACGATCATATTCAATCTCTTCAAATTCTAACATGGTATTGCGAGCGTCTTAGGATACTACAAGCTTCCAACTACATACTCTACAACTATGTCTGGATCTCCACGGTCCAACAACGGCTCTTCTGTTACGAGCCCATCACGGCCAACAGCGTCTTCAGCTGCTTATAATTCTAATCTGCAGCAACAACAACAACAACAACAATATGAGCAACAACCGATGTACGGCATCCCACTGAGCAATCAGCCCGTACACACAATTGCAGCAGCGGCATCATCGACAGCAGCCGCAGCAACAGCAGCATCAGCAGCCACAACAGCTGCAGCTGCAGTCACTGGTTCTTCTAGTCAACCAGGACAACAGTCCAGTTTCGTACCGACTGGACCTTATCAATATCAAGGTGCTTACCAGCCAGCAAATCTTCAACAGCGTGTCATTGCTTCCGTCTTGTCACTTAACCAAATGTTTCCAACTCCTATGTGCATTGATGGCTCCAGTTATCAGCATGGACAGATGCCACAAGGAAGCGACGGGTCGAATAACTCCTCTTTCGTTCCTGCTGGACAAGGACAACAAGCACCACAAGGGCCACAGATGCCATTACTTTATCAGCTACTATCAGCTGACGGTACCGGAAATTATCTTCCCGCTTCTGCAAACCCAACAAAAATTAAAACGACAGTGCCTTTTAACGGTCAAGACTTCTATACCTGGAGCTTTGAATTTGAGCTTCTTGTTCAGACCGCGGGGTTCTGGCAGCTGTTGGACGGCACAGCACCCTTTCCCTCTCACGGACCACCACTTCAACAGGCCACTTTTCGATCGGCGTCGCTGACTGCATACACAGTTCTCGTTCGTAATCTGACACCGACTGAACAGCTCGGAATTCGTTCTTTTCGTACCAGTGCCGCTCCCGCTGAAGCAGCTTGGTTATACGTGCAAGGAGTTCACATGGCAAAGGACACTGTCAACCAGAGTAAAATTTTAACGCAGCTGTCAAATATACAGATGCTAAACGGCGAGAAGGTGACGCAGTATATCAACCGCGCTCAAAATCTGCGCGATCAACTTCAGAAGTGTGGAGGGTACTTCCCCGACGCTATGTTTCACACGGTGCTACTCGCGGGTCTTGGACCAGAATGGCGACAGTGTCGCTCTATTCTTCGGGTGCAAGCACAGTTGTCCGAGGGGGCACTCTGTGCTGCTCTCATCGCCGAGCAGCAGGATATGGACCTGCACAACGCTCGAGGAGGGAAAAAGGTGGTAAACAACACCGTCAGTTTTTATTATAATCTACGACACAAGCCCGTTTGTACCTTTTGTCGCAAAGCAGGACACACTATTGATACCTGCTGGTCGAAAGATAAACCATCTTGGAAGCGGACTACATCGAAACATACCAAAGATTCTTCAGGTGAAGCTGAGAAGCAGGAAGCTGAGAAACCGGAAGCTGCGAAGCCGAACTCTGCGAAGCCGCCTACTACACCTGCGAAGACACAAGCAAAAGAGGTTATTAATTGCATGACATCAGTTTCTACCGTCTACGATCCTGACACGGAAGAACGTATTCACAGTAACTTCAACGATGAACTCAACACGCCCATACCACCCGAGGTCTACGCCAACCTTGCACACACCTTGGAAGGTCCCAACACTTGGTATCTCGACAGTTGTTGCGGCCAGCATATGTGTTCATCAGAAAATCGCTTCGTCATCAATCAGCGTCGTCTTCAAAATCCGTGCGTTGTAACCGTCACCAACAATCAACGTCTTACAGCACACTGGATGGGTAACATCATTCTTGATTCTGTTGAAGAAGACTTCAGTCTTCATCTTAACGATGTACTCCTCGTTCCTCGACTTGGCTTCAATCTGATGTCATCTGCATAGCTCATGAGGAATAGAATTACTCTTCTTGGCGAACCGGGCAAGTTTACTTTAAAGTATGGAGACAGGAAACTCGGCACGGCAATCGAACAGAACGGTGTATTTGTTCTCAACTTCGTACCTGAACGCACCACTGCCGACTCCGAGAATATTCTCTCTCTTGGCCCATGGGAACATCGTGATGACATCGACTACAGCGATGATACCGTTCCTCGTGAAGGAGTTGTACCCACGTCTTCAACCACGGCTGCCGCTGTCATGCTGACCTTCGACAATCAAGGTTTGAATGCCGTCCAGAACTCCCGAGATTATCTTGCTCATGTTGGTGGATGGGGAGATACGACGAATATGCCCACGGATGAAGGCACTTAGGGGGCACAGGAACCTGACGAGACCACTTGGGGAGAAACTCCTGCTGATCGTGATCAACGTCTTCTCACTGAAGCAGAGCAGCGTGTCGCTGACATGGAAGTCCTCGACTCCGGACAGGGACACAAAGCAACTGCAGACATGTGGCATAAGCGTCTTGGTCATCCGTCGCAGTCTACGCTCAACAACACAATCAAAGCAGCTGTTCTCGACAAGAATTCTCTTCTCTTACCCGGCGGCCTCGAAATGAAACCGGTTAATCGTCCGTCACCCTGCTTGATTTGCCCAGCAGCAAATCTACCGCACGAACCATACCCAACTCATTTTCCTGGCGCTGAGGATTATCGATTGATGGAAAAGGTTTACAATGATATTCTAAACTTACCTGCGGAGGGTTTCAACGACGAGAAATACGTTATCACGTTCACTGAAGCTTCTACTCGATATGTCTGGACTGGTAACATGACTAGCCGTTTTCTTGATTTCACAGCGTTTCAGACATGGCTGCCTC